TAGGCACTACCCACCCCCGCTGCTCATCCACATTAAAGGACTCAGCTCTGCCCCCCATCCAGCAGCCCTGTGTGATCCTTCTGCTCCTGGGCGCTGGCCCTGGCTGGAACCTTGCCCGGCACAAGGACTTCAGATACCTCTGGGTGGTTTGTACAGGTCTGTTGTCTTCTCTGCACTTTAAAACTCATTCACTTGGGGGCAGGGCTTATAGTAGAAAAGATGAAATCCCCAAGTCTCACAGCCCATGATGTTGCACATCTGTCCCTGATGAAAGTCACCAAAGTGCATCACTTCACCACCCAGGCATGTGCGGTTGCTTCTCTGAAAGATTCTAGGGAGTGGAGCCTGAATTTGGTATTACCAGCCCCCAGGCCTGACAGCTGCCCCTGAATCCAAGCTTTGTTCTACTGTCGGAACCATGGCCTGGAGGGGAAGCGCCCGAGGCTGCTTCTTTCTGGAAAATCTCGGGCATCTCAATGAGAACTGTGTCTTAGATGTGAATTTTGTGTGAGAGGACACGCCCTGGTGCCCACCCCACCTCTCTCTCCCGTCTATGGCAGAAGAGAGGACACTTATATTGCGGGGCCCTGGACTTTAATGGGCACTGATTCAATGGAAATATCTGGGAGTAGGTGACCACCACCCTGGTTTGCCTGGGATGACCCAGATTTAGCAAAGTGCCCCATTTAAAGAAATCCCTCTGTCCTGGGCCAATCTGGTCAACCTGGTTGGGAACAAATTCTCCAAGTTTTCTTCAAATTCTCACTAAACCTGATGAATCAGAAGCCCCAGGAGTAAGGTCTGGAAACCTGTTTTAATGAACTGTCCAGATAATTCCAATGCAATGCATGCCCAAGAGAACATGGCCTCCCTCAGGATGAAGAAACATGGCAGGTGCTACTTGCCTAAATTCGTAGATGGCAATTAGAGGGCAGAGCCAGAAACAGGGCCTGACTCCACTGTGCAGCTCAGCTGCCCCACTCAGTCCTCAGGCTCAGAGCAGAGTTCTCAAGCAGGAATCAGCCTGTGAACATAGATCAGTAACTAAGGTACTGAAATGCCCCATCAACTGCCATAGTCCAGGGCCACTGGGCATTACCATGGGGGTCAAGAAAGATGGGGACTGCCAGCTTCCAAGAGGGTAGGATCCCTCTGAGCCTTGGCGCATTTGGATAAGCAGAAAATAGAGGAATTTCACATAAAGAAGAATGAAGTTATGGCATTTGCTGGTAAATGGATGGAACGGGAGACTACCATGCTGAGTGAAATAAGTCAGCCCCAAGAAACCAAAGGCTGAATGTTCCCTCTGATAAGTGGATGCTAACAATGCTAACACACAATGGGGGTGGTGGGAAGAATAAAAGTGCTTAGGTTTAGACAAAGGGGAGTGAAGGGAAAGGAGAGGGGGATGGGAATAGAAATACAATAGAATGAGTTGGACATAACTTTTCCATGTTCATATATGAATACACAAACAGTGAAACCCCACATTGTGTACAAGGACAAGAATGGGAAGTGTTCTCCATGTATGTATGATGGGTCCAACTTCACTCTGCTGCCATGTATAACTAAAAAAAAAAAAAAACGAATTAAAAAAACCCCACTCTACTGTCATGTATATCCAAAAAGAACAAGTATTTTTTAAAAATATTTGTTTATTTTTTGTTAGACACAATACTTCACTCATTTATTTCTCTGTGGTGCTGAGGATCGAACCCAGGGTCTGGCACATGTGAGGCAAGCGCTCTACCACTGAGCCACAACCCCAGCCAAGAACAACTATTTTTAAAAAGAATATACCTGAGAAAGTATTTCATGGAAGGAAGGAAGGCAGGCAGGCAGGAAATTCAGACTCAGGGCAGTGTGAGCAGAAGCCCAGAGGACACAGCATGGCCTCCAGGAGGCCCAAGGAGACAGCAGCAGGGGGGCCCTGGGGGAGCAGTTACTCCTCTCTGTGCTCAGGCTGGACCAGCAGGTGTCCATGACCATGCCAGGTGGGTGTCTCTGTCTCGCCTGACCCCACTGCCCAGCTCTTACCCACTAGGAACACTTCCTCCCATTGGCTCAGGAAGTCCAACTCCAATTCCTACAAACAGAAATAAACTCCACTTAGGAAGGCAATCTGCTTCCCAGAAATCAGAAGGCTCTCCTCAGAGTTCAGAGAAAATGGCTCAGGTGGATTATCCAAAGCCCTGCTTTTCATTCACTGGCAGGGGAGATAAGACCACTTGGGGGGCTGTGTTTGCTTTCTCCCCTCCGGGAGCTGCAACAGACAGACCTGCTCTCCATGAATTGTCCTCTGGCCACAGGAAAACCAGGGATCCCCTCAGGGCACTGGGAGTGTTGCCCACTTGCCCCCTCCAGCCTGCCCCTTTCACTGAAGGCAGCCAATGCTGGGGCTGTGGACCCTTGGCTCCTTTCCCAGGGAGCTAAGCCTTCCTGAACCTTCCATTTTTATAGCACACAGTGTTCCTTGGGCCTCGGCCTTCTGGATACTTCCCTAGTGTTCTCATTGGATAATGTCTACTCCAGGTCTCCACTGACTCCGCCCTCCCATAGGCATCCCTAACCCACCGCAGGCTCCCACCAGCCTTGCCCTGGTGAAGGGTCGCTTTGCTAGTCCTCACTTGGCTGGGACCTCTTGGCAGATCTGCCGCTGTGGACGCCCCCTCTCCCCTGGCTCTGGGACCCCACACTCCCAGGTCTCCTGTCACCTATCGCAATAAGCTTCCTCCTCACTCCTCCCTCCTCTTTTTGCTCCTTTCACGTGAGTCAGGGCTCTCGGGAGCCCCACCTGCTTCTTCCTTGCCCAGACTGCCCGCCCAGGGGACCTCCTTGTGTGCAGCAGGAGTCTGTCCCCCTGCTCACCCTTCAGAACTCCACCTCTTTCTTGGACTTGATTGCCAATTTCCTAACAGTCCTCCCTGTGCCCAGAGGGCCTGTCCCTTTTCTTCCTCCACAGGGGACTCTTTATGAAATGTGCATCTCAACTCAGGACTGCCTGGCCAAACACTTTCCTGGGGTTCAGTACTAGGGATTGAACTTGGGGCACTAGACCACTGAGCCACATCCTCAGCCCTATTTTGTATTTTATTTACAGACAGGGTCTCACTGAGTTGCTTAGCAATTGCTGAGGCTGGCTTTGAACTCATGATCCTCCTGCCTCAGCCTCTCAAGTCTCTGCACCACCTGCCCAGCCTATCTGAAGTCCTTTTTAAAAATGCAACCTTCCATACCTGGGTCCTGACCCCTGTCTTGGAGTGAGTTTCTCACGTTCCTTTTCTGTGGGTCTAGAGAAATGTCTGTGGTGGGTCCAGTGGACCCTGGCTGGGAAGGGTCCACTGCAGGGAGAGAACAGTCAACAGCTGGGACAGGCCAGGCCCCACAAGCTCTGTGGGGTCACCACGGGCCCGTGGGGTTCAGCAGGTCCTCAGACACAGTCTCACATCAGGGCGGATGCAGAGCACCAAGGTGTAGCTCCTACTCGGGTCCTGGCTGCCCCATCCATCACCATGTTCACAAGCTTCCCTTTTCCTCTCTGTCTCTTTCAGTATTTCTTCCACTGCCTCTCAGACTAATTGGAGAAAAATGGGTTTTATCTTCTTTTTGACACAAAGGCTAAAAGTCTTAAATTACCTTCTTCAAGATCTGCAAATAGAAATCCCAGAGAAGACAGCCACCTTTTTTATCTCCCTCTCCCCCTCTCTCTGTCTCCAGGAGCCTCAGAGCTTTGAAGTAAGAGACAGAGCTGAGCTCAGGAGGAAGAAGCCTGGCCTGGGCCCAGCCCTGGCCCAGGAGATGAGGGAGGGACAAGAGCAGGGCCTGGCTGGGACCGGGAGTGATGGAGGACGACATGGAAATGGGCTCATGGCTTGTGGTTCTGAAACAAAAACATTTCTGAAGGAGCACCCACTCCATGAACGTGGGCCATGTAGCCAGAGGAGAAGGAGGAACCGTGGAGGCTTCAGGCTTGCTGAGGTCTAGACTAGCTGAGAAGCAAACAGGAATAGCAGGCACACTGGGCCTTCTCTACTTTGGTCACCACCAATGATGTCACAGCTCCCAGGTGTCCATCAATGTGTCAGAACAAGAGAGAAAGCTTGGTGCTAAAGACTGGCTATTTTAGGACAGGAGTCTTGGTTTCTTGCCAAAGCTCGGTGACATGGAATAATAATAGCTGATGTTTATTGAGCCCTTGCTTTGTGCCAAGGACGATACTAAACCCTTCACATGGATGATCCCATCTAATGTTCCAAACCACTCTATGATGAGGGTATCATCATTAACTGCATTTACACATGAGGATTCTGAAGGATGGGAGGTTGTGGACTTGCCCAACACGTCGTGTACCAGATCAGAGCATGAATCCAGGAGGCTGACTTCCGAGTCTCTTGTATTTCTTGCTGCCAAACCACTAGGCCCATCTGCACCTGCCTCCTCATCTGGAAGGTCAAGGTGCTGGGAACAGGCGGGGTAGACTGGGAGATCCGGAAGGCCAACTCCAGCATGGGTGCTCTGATGGGGCTTCTGCGATGCAGGTGCACACAGAGATCTTCAAATGGTGCCTAGTTCAGCTTTCCAAGGCAGTGTGGCCATGCCAACAGAGTGAGCACCTGCATGGGGTAGGGGACAGGGAAACAGGTGCCCTGTGATTGTGATGAGATGGGAGGAAAGGACAAATAGCACTAAGCCCATGTGAAATTTGCAGAGGCCTTTAGGTTAGACCTGTGGTCATGGGGGGCGGGGGGAGCCAACATCCAGAGGTCTAGAAAATTCCACCCAGATTGACCTCCATTAGGTGTCCAATGGCCTTTGTGTCTCTCTAATTTTTGCTCCATGTTGTACACTCACAGCCTCAAACCCTCCTGGTCACACAGGGGACCTTGAAGGGGACCTTAAAGGGGAATTTGAAGGGGGCCTTGTCAAGCAGCTCTGGCTCTGGGAGGATGAGGCAGGTCCCTATGTCCTCCCGGGGCCCAGCATGTGTGTGTCCTTTGCAGGTCCAGCAACCATGGCCCATTACAAGACAGAGCAGGAGGACTGGCTCATCGTCTACCTGAAGTATTTGCTCTTCTTGTTCAACTTCTTCTTCTGGGTAAGTGAACTCTGAACGCGCATGCCCTTTCCAAGCGCCGAATGAGTCAAGCCACCTTGGTTTTTTGTGAGTCATCACTTTCTTCCAAATGAAAGGCCCCCAAGGTGCAAGTTCTGCTGACTTTAAAGCAAGCATGTACGTTTCCCTCTGCAGGCTGGCGTGGGGTCGGCCACAGGCATCTGACTAGAGAAAAGCGTAACAAAGCACTATGTGTGCCGGCCCCCCTCCCCCTGCAGAGGGTCAGGGGCTCTCCTCCCTGTCACTGGTACAATGCCCTATGGGAAACGCAACTGCCTGAAATAAGGCTGGTTTCCACCAAAGCCCATTTGCCTGCCGTGGTTCATATGGTTCTTCAGTCCCTGGGCAAACATACGGATGCCTTGGGGATCCAGAACTGCCTCTCTATAGTGACTCCCCCAAGAAACCTGCCTGCTTGAGACTTTCCAGAACAGAGTAAAGGCTATCCACCAGGCGCCATTATCTGGTTACTTGAGAGCAGAATCCCATCAGTTGCCCCCAAATAGCCTGAATGTTTGTATTTTTTATTCCAGCTCACTAATTCTGGAAAGGCAGGTGACACTAAAGAGAGCAGGCTTTGCTCAGCCAGACCTAGGCGGTGCTATCTAGCAATGGTGTGGCCTAGGCCACTTAAGTTGGATGAGTCTGTTTCCCCAGCTACAAACTGGGGATTATTTTTAGACTCTTAGGGTTACATTCAACAAATACAATGTTTTGAAGATATTGAATGCATATGTCTGAAAATACCATCAAAGCAACAAGAAACTTACTGATTAGGAAGAGTTAAGTTTGGTTTTGTTTTGGTTTTTGGTTTTCTTTTTTTCTTTTTTTTTTTTTTGGTACTGAGGATTGAACCCAAGAGTGCTTAACCACTGAGCCACAACCCCAGTCTTTTATACATATATATATATATATATATATGTGTGTGTGTGTGTGTGTGTGTATTTTAGAGACAGGGTCTCACTGAATTACTTAGGGCCTCACTAAGTTGCTGAGGCTGGCTTTGAACTCAGGATCCTCCTGCCTCAGCCTCCTAAGCCACTGGAATTATAGGCATGCACCTCCACGTCCAGCCAGAGCTAGGTTTCTTGCTACCCCAGGTAAGAGAGCTCTCTTTGACAGAGTCTTAGGAGCATCTCAGAAATGCACACAAAGGTGGACCATGTCTTAGCTTTCAGGCCCTTTCCTGCAAGAGCCTGAAGAAGATTGGGAAGAATCATGACAGAGTAGTGTAGGATGGATGGACACAGACAGGCCAGAGTCTTGAAGAGTCTTGGAGAATAGACCGTGGTTTGATGCTATCTATTCAAAAGCTGAACAATCTAATGTTTACTTAAATGTGTTTTGCAAAGTTCCTGAAATACACAATAAAATTATTTGCAGCTTTTGTCTCCCCGGGCAGGAGTTTCCTGGAACAGTGAGGGTGTGGTGATAAAGATGATGGGATAATAAAGCTGTGGAGCTGGAGACTGTAAACCATGTGGGTGTAGAAGGTTTCAGTTCTTAAAGGTAAATCCAGCCGGGTGTTTAAGATGCTTACAGAGCAGGCTTTTCTTTTTAAGAATGTTTTTCCTAATCATCCAAGTTTTATGTGCTCACTACAGATAATCCTAAAAAATTGAAAAACATAAAAAAACCTACCCATATCTCCCTTTCTTGGTTTCCCAGATTTGCTCTCACAAATTATGGCAAAAATGGGGTAGCATTAAACAACAGAAATATTTTTTTCTCACAATTGTGGATACTAGAAGTCCAAAATCAAGGTTTCGGCAAGTCCGCGCTCTCTCCGAGACGCTGGGTAGACCCTTTCCTTGCTTCCGGAAGCTGCTGGAAATGCTTGGCCTCCTTGGCATCACAGCTGCTGCCCTCCGGTCCTGCCTCTGTCCTCACTGCCGGCAGTCACATGCCAGTCTCCATGTGACATTTCCCTCTTCTTATGAGGACGAGGGGCATATTGGATACAGATCACTCTAATGACTTCATCTTGACTTTACTGCGTCTGCCAAGACCCTATTTCCCAATAAGAGCCCCTTCACAGGAACCTGGCAGTGAGAATCCCAGTATGTCTTTCCAGGGTGCGGGGCACGATTCAGTCTGTGCTGCCTGCCATCCCAGAAACATTCACTGTTAACACTTCCTCCTGACTTTGCATGGGTCAAGGCGCCAGACGGTGGTGATCTGTACTCTGGGAGTGACGGTGGGAATAGAAATATTTGGGGAGAGTTAAGGGGTTGGAAAGGTAAAATTGACAAGATCGGGCTATTACCAGATGGGCTGAGAAAGAAGAGGGCTCTGGGGAACGTAGCTCCTCAGTGGATGGTGGGGCTCTGCATTTGTGCAGGGGACCAGAAAGAGAAGCAGTTTGGGGTGGGGTGGCGAGGTCAGAGGTCGGCATGTGGGTTTGTGTTGCCAGGAGACATCTAAGTGGAGACACACGGTGGGAAGTTAGTTCATGGCTCCAAAACTCAGGAACCAGCCAGGCCAATGCCGCAGACTTAGGGACATCCCCACCTGGAGAGCAACTGCAGCCATGAAAATAGATGAGAACAGAGTGGACAGGGACTAGGAAGGGAGAGGAAGGAAGAATGAGGCCTGGGGACTCTCCAGGGGCCAGGGCTGAGTCTGGGCAACCAGAGGTCCTGGGTCGGCCTGAACTGAGGGAGCTCCTGAGGTGGGGGGGGGGGCTGTTAGTGCTGAAACCAGGAAAGCTCCAGGCAAATTGGGATGAGCAGTCAGCCTTGAGCAGCCAGAAGAAGGGGGTCCACCACGGAAGCTGCAGAGGAACAGCCAAAGAGGGGGTCATGAAGCCAGGAAAAACCCAGATCAGAGAGGGTGGAGATTGGGCAAAGCCATCAGTGTGGAAGGTTCAGGAAACATGGAGCATCCTCAGGCCTAGGAAAGGCCAGGGGACTTAGCAACAGAGAGCAGCAAATGTGGGAACTGCTTTGTGGAGAGTCAGGGTGGAAAGAGTGGGACTCCGTGTCGACAGCTTCTCCCAGACACAATGAGAAGAGAGGAGGCAGTGGCCACGTGGTCAGGGGCCTGCTGGTCCTTTGGTACCTAGGGCTATTGTGGGATGCTCAACCCAAAATATTTGTGAAACAACTGGGGCCTTGCGCATCCTAATTGTGCTGAGGTCCCAGAGGAAGCAGTGGGCATTGGACATGGTGACCGCCCCCGGGGGCCCCACCAAGCCAGAGTGGACTCAGCATCCATCTGTGTTTGTGTTACTTTGGGGGTGGTAAAGAAAAAGACATGTGGGAGGCAGCACGGGCAGATGGGCAGCAAGCATGTCCCCAGAGCAGCTACCGATGAGGGGAGCCACCCCCACACAGTTCTCCCAGTTTTGAGTTAAAAATAGCCCTGCCTGGGGGCCTGACTGGCCACGGACCAGTTTCCAGGGGCTTGTCAGCTGAGTCTCACCCCTCTTGTGGGGGTGGTGGTCTTTAGAAAGTTCTGGCAAGGCTCCCCTAGACCTGCTGCACAGTCTTCAGAAGTAGACAGGGACAGACAGAAGTGTCCCATCTCCTGTCTTGCTGCCTCAAGGCAGAGCACGACTTTACGGTGCCCAGGTCCCTGAGAACCTACCATAACCCAGCCCCTCCCTCCTAGTGGGAGGGCATTGTCTAGGGAGGCAAGTGATACCTAGGTATTCTCATACCAGGTCAGAAATAATCATGGCCATTTAAAAACTCATTCCACAATCTATAATAAGTACCTACTGAGTGTGAAGCACAGTTCTAAGTTCACATCACGGGACAGGGTTCTCAGTTTTCCTGGAACTTCCTGTCGTGGGCTTCCTCTGTGCTTGCCTTTCCACCTGCATCACCCTATTCAAAACTCCCAGCCCCCCTTTGAGACTATGAACAGCTCTATTAGAGTCCCATTTTATAGAGTGTCAAGCAAAGTTTCCAAAGTCCCACAGCTGGAGTCTGCTCTCCCTGACCCTAAGCCTGAGTGTGCTGAGCCACTATGCTCTGTGACCCCCAGCCCTGAGTCCTGCACTACCCCCCCCCACTGTCTTTGGGGCACACGTGGATTATCAAGGCAGCAGAGCATGCTGGGAAGTCCCAGGCTCTAGTGTGGGATCAAATTCAGATTGCATTATTTATTTGCCATGGGATGTTCAGTGTAAAGAACTGGATTAGGTCTTTTCCAAATCCATATGCTAAAGCCCTAATACCCAATGTGACCATATTTGGAAATGAGGCTTTTAGGTCATAATGGGAGGGTCTTCATCCAATAGGGATGGTGGCCCTTTAAGGAGCAGAGCTCCAAATGCAAACACTAAATGAGGACAGGGCAAGAAGCCATTAAGCCAGGAAGGGAGCCTGCACCAGGAACTCAATCAATGGGACCTTGTTCTTGAACTTCCAGCCTTCAAACTGTGACATCAAGTTCTGTTGTCTACAGCATTTTGTTATGACAGCCCAGGCAGACAGACTGAGACATCGGGCAAACAACTTAATCTCACTGGGCCTCACTTTTTTCATACATGAAATAAGAAAGGCGATACTTATAAGAATCAGGGTTTCAAATTCAGGAAAACATTAAGCACATACTCAGTGCTTAGTTGTTATGCTGACTGTTTTGATAAGATGCCTCGTCTCTTCCACAGCTTTCTCCATCCATAGAACTGTCTCTAAGACTTCCAGCATCAAGAGACACAAGGAAGCATAAGAAATGCTAATGCAAAGCTTCAATCACAGAACTAAACTTCCCCCCACAGTGTGTGAAGGACTCTGAGATTTTCTCTGGTCTTTTCATGATTACTATTAAGTGCACACATTATATTTATTTCACAACCCTAATGGGTCACATTCCAAAGTTCAAAAAGCCCAGAACAGTCCCCCCTCCACCCAACCTGGTCAGGACTCGGGTGACAGCTCTTCCTTTCACCCCATCCCTGAAGCCCCTTTGGATCAGGAACCAAAAATGTCACCACTTTCCTGCCTCTTTCATGACCCTAAAAGCCAGTTGCC